CGGGGACCTCCCTGATGCGAAGACGGGTTAATACAAGGGCCTTCTTGCACAAACGCTGTCTGTAGAAATAGTGAGCGTAGTCATCGTGTTAATAGAGGATAGCGCGGGGGTGTTTCTGCAAAAGCACCAGCGCGCGCGGGCTTCTCCGCCGTGGGCCAGCCGTGGAAGCGGGCCGCTGCGTGGGCGCGCGCCGCGTCGCGTGGGCTGTGCGTGTGGGCCGCGTGGGAGATTGGTTTTTTCTTTTTCTAGGAATATGTGAATGGTTTTCTAATTTAATTTTTGAGCTAATCTTTGATAATTAATATAAACTCGTGTAGGTGTCCAAAAATTACGAAACATATTTTGTTAGGTTCCTAAAATTATGGTCAATCTATTGGTCTAGTTAGTTCATACTTATATGTGTTGACATTAGAAGCTGTTAAATCATTTGAGAATGCTTAATAATATTAAGCTAATTATTGTAGGAATTTTTGTGGTAAACTGGTGATAGCTTTAGTCCTAAAATTTTTATGGTAGCTTTATCGTATTATTATGTGCTCACTGTAATTTTTGTAGCTTTAGAATAGACTAAACATTAAGGTAGTTAAATGCTCTTTGTTTCAATATACATTAAATCATTAGCAGAAATAAAGATATATCCTTAGTTTGCTAAGCTAAATGTTGTTAGTTGAACCCAACACCTTGTTTGATGAAGATGATAGTTAGCTTAGTACCTTGGTCATTAGAGCTAGCTTAGTAGCTTAGTATGCGTATTCTTAGTCTAAGAGTTGCTATTGCCTAAATGCTAAGTGTTGCATCATCGTCGCATGCATGTAGAGAACGAGTTGGCAGAGATCGTGACCACCGGCGATCACGAGTTTGAGGAGGTCGTCGAGGAGTACAAGGAGGAGATTCTCGTGTAGGAGGAGGTCCCTGAGCCGCCACTGACTGACTCAGCTGACACCATGCCTGCCCAAGGCAAGCCCCGGTGCATAACCTATATTTTATAATTCACCATATATATATATATATATATATATATATATATATATGTGTGTGTTGTGTATTTACGTTACAGGAATTTTATGGAAACCACATGCATAGATACATCTGTCCTAAGAGTCTTACTAGTGTAGGTTCGAGTAGATGCTATGCTTAGGTCATCGATAGCGTGAGTAACCTGTCGTTGCTCACAATAGGGGATTATTATTACTCTCATAATAAAAGGATGAAAGAAAAAATGGAGACAGTGCAGGGATATGATATGGGTATTGGTGGGTATAATAGGTTGTGTCTCGCGACCAACTGAGCTTAGCCTGGTTACACTGTTTTCCCTGTTCATGTCGATTTAGGACCGTCTATTGCTGTGGATGGTAGTCAGGTCACAGACTAATTATCCTGAGCACATACTTGCTTATGGGAGCAGGATGGCTCATTACGCTCTTATCGTGGGTTCTGGCTCTTTCCAGACCGACTGTTTGGAGGCTGGAAAAGGTGAAGGTCTAAGCACCATACTGAGACTAGGTCTCAAGTGTGGGGGCTTGGAGTCCAAGTTTGGACGAGGACCTGGACCCCGTGATAGGAGTGTAATGGGTTGGTCTTGTTTGTGCCTAGGGTACAAACAGGGCTTATGCTTCGGGGTACCCAGCTGGGATACATTGGTTCACGAATCACCATTTCCATAAGACTGTATGACTTGGCTATGGTCTAGTAGCGTAGTAAGAACTAGAAGATAAAAGATGGTAAAATAGTTCTGATTGCTTAACCCTTGTTTGAAAGTAGAACAGGTGCTTACCTAGAATGGTTAGCTAATAAAGTAATCATAACTGTTAATAAAACTTGACTGTAAGGATGAACTATTAGTAATGCTTTCCGCAAACAAAAAGAAAACAGCAAACCCATATTGCCTATTATATCCTTGAGAGTCGGGAAACTATTCCCACTAGTCGGGTAAGTCTTACGAGTACATTGTGTACTCATGGTTTATTTTACCCATGTTGCAGGTGCAGCTTGAGGAGTAGCTCTTGTGTGGAGGATTCTTCTGGTCAGCACAGACGGATCCTTGTATCATTTCCGCTAGTTGTTTATTTTCATTCCGCTGTTTAATTATCGTACTCTGAACTCTGGTATTGTAATAAATAATTTCCAAGAACTCTTGTTGTATGAAATAGACTAAGTATTGTAAGCTCGTACTCATTATTGGATTCTGGATGTAAAACATGGATTGTTTCGAGTTCTCCCTTAGGGTGGGCTCGACGGAACTGTCCGATGTAGCTAACTTTTAGGGTGCTTAGCGTCTAATGGAAGACGAGCGCCTCTAAAAGTGTGTTATTTCGGATGGTTCTGCCACACTACGGTGTAAAGGATGGCCGCTCAATGCACTTCTAGTAGCTGTGCTCCACACTTTGATGGCACCGGCTATGACTATTGGAAAAGAAAGATGTGACAAAACATCAAGTCAAGAGGAAGAAAGATTTGGGGTGTGGTGGAGAATGACTTTGTGGTGCTTGATCTCAAGAACCCCACACCAAGAGAGGAAGAGCTATTGCAACCCAATGATCAAGCCCTTGACATGTATGAGGTGCTAGATGACAATGCGTTTGAGAGCATAAAAATCTTGAATATGCCTTCCAAGCATGGTCAAGGCTAGAAGAAACTTGTGACGACACTTCAATCAACTCCTTTTTCGAATGCACTATCTCCCAAATGTTGTCGAACATGAAAACAACTCCTTTGGCCCTAAGTTAGCATTTTTCAATGGATTTACACTTGTGCCTCACTCCGTCACTAGGTCTAATGCATATGCAAAGTCATTTCACACCTAGTAACACTTAGATAGCCGATTAGACTTTAGAGTTTTCCTCCTAATAGTATGATTATCTATCCTAAACCCAACCACACAATATTGCATCTCGGCCGGTGAAAACAAAATCCCTAGTATATACCTTTCCATTCAATTTCATCATAGGGTTTTGTTTTTCTCTTTCTTCTTTCCAAGTGTGAGCTGGCATCATTTTGAATGATCACGCTTCATCCAACTCCTTGCATGGAAAATATGCCTACTTGCGTGGAAACTATATAGATCATGGTTTGAATCCTTGGTCTTTTCCATGCGTATATGGAATTTTACCCTTGATAGCTGTCACCATAATAATCTTGCCCCACTTTTTACTTAATGGAAATCATTCTTACCTTTTTTGCACAAATAAAAGTTGATAGAACTAGGAAGCAAGAAAAAGAATAATTGGTCCAATAATTCAATATTTTTAGTAGCTTTTGTGCAATTTATGGTAAATTCTAGCAGTTTTATTTATAAAGACCATGCATGGATATCATTGCATTCGTGGTTCAAACCCAACAAACTATATCAGCCAACAACGTACACTTGTCCTCAGTGACGTTAGCCTACCTAAGACATAATAGGCAGTTTGCAGTCCGTCCACCCGCTCCGTCCCTATACACACTATCCTTGCCCCTAGGTCCCCATCTCTAAAGTCCACTCACCGCAAAGCCAGCCTAGAGATGGCGTCTCCCCTTGATTTCTTCACCGAAACCTCCCTTCTCTCCACTTTCATCACCGCTAACTAGGTGATCCTCGCCGAGCTATAAATATTGACCCTCTCACAACTTCTTCAAAACAGCCATATAAGTTCCTCTCAACTTCTCCTCTGGCAGAGGCGGAGCCACCACTAGGGCGAGCTAGGGCGGCCGCCCTAGGTCCCCTTGGCCGGGCACCATATCCCCACCCCCTGGAGGACGCTGAAGTTGGAGCCGAAGGGCGGAAGCGGCGAAGGCGACAGAGGTAGCGAAAATTTTTGCCCAAAACATAAGTTGTCGTTGGTAGCGAAAATTTTAGAGTATAAGTCTGCCCTAGGTGAATTCTCGGGCTGGATTCGCCACTCCTCTGGTGTTCGGCGGCGCCATTGCTGAGGCTCTGCATCACCACCATCGATTGCCAACGACTCGTCCCGCCAGAGGTATTCAAAATCAGAACCTCTAGAAAAATTACCATTCTTCTTCTTTTTACAGCTTTTCTCTTGCAGTTCTATCCTTCAAAAAGTATTTCTACCCTTTTGAAAAGAACGAGAGAAAAAAGGGAAGAAGTTTTTCCCTTTAGCCTGAAAAAAGGGGGAAAGGAGTCAGCAAAACAAAAAGTAGGAGGCTACAATTACATCTCTCTAGTTGGGCCCCCACTAAGCCCATAATTTTTTGGCCCAATAAACGAAACCCAACTACATGACTGGCCCGGCCTGCGTCTCGAAATTTAAACCCCAAGCAAAGCAGACCCGACAGCGAGGCAGCGCCAGGCAGCCAGCAGCCCAACGCGCCACGGCCCACCTCGCGTATTTAAACCCCCGCCTCCTCTGCTCTCGCATTCTCCCTTCCCAATCGGCCAATCCTCTGTTCTCTTCTGTTCCCGCTGATCAGGCAGACTCAAGTGCGTCGAGGCGGAGAGAGAGAGAGAGAGAGCGAGCGCCTTCAATAGCTTCTATTCTACGATCGGGTAGCAGAATCCCCGGTACGCGCTCTGCTCGATCACCGCAGCATCCTCCCGATTCGAATGCTTGCGTTTTCGCCTGAATTTTGGGATGATTCTCGGACTACTTGGTTCCGATGCTTCGAGGTAACCGTTGTGTTTGTAGTGCTTGTTTGGATTTGTAGTCGATCAGTTTTCTGTGATTCCTGGTATTTGATGATACTTGGGGAGTTGGGGTTCGTGCGCGAGGCTCCACTGGATGATTCGATGGTTCGAGTTTCCCTCGAAACTTCCGATTTCATGCAGTGCTGCTACGAAATCAGAGCAGTTCAAGCAGCGCGGCTACGCGAACGCGTTCGAGCTTCGTGCCCTGTTTTCACTGCGCTCGATTGCACGATCCAATTCGAATTCCGAGCTCTGCAGTTTCCGTGTGTTTGTGCGTCATTTTGCTCGCAATCCGTTATCGTGTTTTCCAAATTTTGGTTTCCGAAATATATCGAGAATATGGTATCTGCAACGCTAATCAGCTTCCTCGAATGCAGAGATGGACCCCAGCAACGACTGCGCCACCCCGAGAAGCGATGGCCGCGGCAGCAGCAGCGGCAGCGACGGGAATGGGGGCCGCTCGGCGAACAACTCGTCGCGGCGCCGCCGCCGCATGCCGTCCTCGCCTACGGGTACTCAACTCATGTCGGAGTTCAACGCTGCTGGTGATGTCGGGGGCTCCAGGTCTTCCTCGTCGCTATCGTCTTCCGGGGCCCTCGACCTGGAGGGTGTGCTCCTCCTAGCCACCCCGGTGGCAACGGACAGCACCATCATCATGGAGGGTGAGCTCCTCGACGACGACAACGAACCAGGTACCCCCTCCGGCACCAGGCGCTCCGCTTCTCTCGTCGACAACAACGGGCCCAGCAACAGGGTCTCCATCAGCGACCTCGACCTCGTTTTGGTCTCCTCCGGCTCTCAGGGCTCCAGTGGAGGTGGGAGCGGCGGCAGGCGCAGCGCCTCCAATGATCAGGTAATTATTCGCTAGCCACTTGTGAATTGTGATCTCATCTCACCAACGTTTCGGGCACACGCTGTCCCTGGTTGCTTTGGGGGTGAATTGGTGATGTGTTGCGGTGATATACGGGATAATAAGCAGGATAACGTGGGTTAATGGTATTGATACATTATTTGGACGACTGCGTTTTGTTAAAGCGGATTATGCTGCATGTTTGACGTGAGTTTGAAAATGATGTCAAATTCTCAGTGCCATTTAGCTGAAACTGTTTACCAAACTGCATTGGTAGATCATGTACGAAACTTAGTTCATGCGTTGATTTCATATGGCTACATCTGTAGCGTAGAATTTGGTATTTTCAGACTATTTTACTTTGAATTTCTTATGCCTACATTTGAGGGTGCAATTTGCTAGTCATTTGTAGGGAAAGGAAGTGATAAGTCATCGGTTTACTATTACTCTGAATAGCATTTATTAGGTGCTCTCAAAACAGGTAAGGAAACCGATTTGCTGTTATTTACTGGACTACATTTGCATAAGTGGTCTAAACTACTTTACAGACATGACTGAATATTCAATCACGTGAGGTACAAAGATAACCTATAAGGCTGTAACCGATTCCTTTTGTTGATTAGAGCCATATATCATTCATCAAGACACGGACCTGCTAATTAGAAGACATGCATGTTCCGCATTTGCTCATTATTTTTCTTAGAAGGAAACATTGCCGTTTATTTTTGTATCTGAAAGTTGTTTCATTGTCTTTGGTGCCTCTTTTTTGTATTTGTATTCCCACCAGTGCTGAATAGAAATGCTCCTGTAATTTACCATACCAACTTAAATGAAGGGATAATTGAACTGTTTAGAAAAGAAGAGGACTGTGGGTGGAGGGAAATCTTCTCACTCTTAGCAAATCCGTGCTCTGGCACCAATAACTAATAGGGACAGAATCGTGAATAAAATCGAGGAAGTAGAACTACTGAGACTTGAGAGGAATATGCAGCACTCAAATATGCAGAAACTGATCAATCATTTCTGTTTTTCATTCGATTCTTCAGTTTCCCCAGAGGGAGGGACATCGTAGGATGTATGCCCCAAGGAACAACAGATATTATGAGGTAAATATTTCTGGGGCCATTTGTATTTACTCATGAGGTTTAGATCAAATGATAGATGATCTCCTGCATTATTTTGTAATTGTATTTGTATTGTATAACCCTGGATTTAAATGCTATTCTTAAAATTATGAAGTAGTCTCTTTCTGCGTTCAGACAACAAGGCAAACACATCTTACTGTTGCTTTCTTTCACAAGGTTCTTCCCTGTTACTGAAATAGTAGTAGTGAGTAGGTATTAAGCTCTTTGGAATCACTTTTTGTCTTTTGGATTGCCTGCTCACCTCTCATGAAGCCATTTACATAAGCCTGAGCAGTACCTATGTCTCCTTTTGCTATGCTTATGCCTGGTAGTCATCTTGGAGGACGAATCCTAGCTTGTTTAGTTGAAGCCGTGATTCCCAAAGTTGCTGTTACATTATGATGGAAAACAAATATTTACGATTCTTTGAATTGAAGTAATTGTCCAATTGATTAACCTGATATCACTAGGCTTCTTCTTAGTTCCTGATTGTGTCAGAGTTTAGAAATTGTCCATTAGGGGTTGTCCAATGAACAAACATCTGAATGAACTGAGCCACTGACATAAATGATGTTCCTTTCAACATAACTCAGCAATGAATAAGTCTTCATCCTATCTGTTCTTGTTATAGTTCAATGTATTTTCAGGCTACATCTGATATATTTGCTTGGATAAAACATTGTAAAATATACATCTCAAAGACAAATTTTATTGGGAATTCCATACTTCCATAAGAGAGTTCAACTTTAGCTTCTGTCTTCAGTAGATAATTCCATTGGTACATTATGTTACTGGTGATGCATTTAAACTGTATAAACAGAAGTTGTACACAATCTAGAGATCAAGTATCTCCTCATATATGTGGCTGTAAATTAGCAAGAATGTTTTCGTGGACATAAAATTGAACTTCATTCTTTTGTTTCTGGCACTATGATGCTAAAACGGAAGTGTTGCAAGTCCAGATTAGTTCAGTCATCAGGCTCGCCTGTCACAACTGTCTATTGCAACCTTAATACTGTTTCTTCTTTCTGCTGCCTGAATACAGACGTTCTATTTTTGTCAAATACACATACACATACACATACACATACACCACATGGTGCTATGGTAATGATTTCAGTTACCTGCAAGTTAGGGAATTCAAGTGAAAAATGAGCTGAAAATGTGCGGGATGATGCTACTATCTGCTTTATCTATGATTGCTCATATGTGATGTGCTCTTTACCAATGTCAACAGATGCCATTTTCGGTTGATAAAAATAATCTCTGGTTCTGATTTTTTTCATGAGGTTTCACATACATTTGTCATGCTTCTTCTACAGGCGGGATCCTCGAGCCGGCAGCCAGCGCCAGGGCAATGGCAAGGCGTCGGTCCGCCCAACATCCAGATCCATCCCCAGCAGGGGCCGGAGTTCCCCTACCCCTTCAACTTCCATCTGCCGCCGGACTTCCGCATCCCCCCGAACATGAACTCCCAGCTGCTGCAGGTCGGACAGGAGTGTCCCATCCCGGTGCCCCCGCCGACCCCGTCGCCGTGGGTGGGACCGGGATTCGGTGCCGGACTGAGGGTGCAACTGGGACCACCCGTCCGAGGACCCGTGCACATGTACGGGTCACCTGCGCTCTACCCGCCGCCCGGCGTCACCACCATGGTCATCCCCAGGAGGTCCTCAGGACTCTACCCGCCGCCCGGCGTCACCATCCGCCACCCCCCGACCAGCAACGGAGACCCGCCGCCGCCGCCGGAGCAGCCCGCACGCACCAGGGTCACCATCACGGCCCCACCAGCCAGCGAAGGACCCAGGCAGCCGGAGGCAACGCCGCCGGAGCAGACGGTACAATCCAAGGTCACCATCAAGGCCCCGCCGGCCGGCGAAGGGAGCTCGTCGCCGCCGCCCAAGCAGCTGGAGCAGCCCGAGACGCGTCCGTCCCAGCCGGTGCCGTTGGCGCGTGTGCCGACGTTCTGGTGGCCCCCGATTGCAGAGGAGGACGCCCTCTTCACCGAGAGGCTTCATGGCCCCAGCCGCCGTTCCAGGAGGCTGCCCGTGTTCGAGGACATCTGCCCCAGCGACGAACCTAGCCAACCCCCTCCTCCTCCGCCTCCTCCGACAAGCCAACCCCCTCTGCCTCCTCCTCCTCCTCCTCCAAGCCACCCCCCTCCATCTCCGCCGCCGCCGCCTCCTGAGAGCCCGTGAGATGGTTCGTCGCTCCGCCCCGTACATCCCTGTTAGCCGTACCGGACCCCCTACCCCGACGTCTCTGCAAAGTCGTCTCGCACCGGACGATGACGACGGTGAGTGAACTAGCGTTCAAAACTTTCTCGCGCCCTCGCTGCGGTAATGACTTTCGTGGGCGCTCCTTTTCTGCTGAACCTTGAGTAACTGGCTAACTGCGGCTGCGTCGGATTCCTCTGCAAACAAAATGCTCTGGTTTGTGGAGCTCGGAACCATGTAGCCGTGGTTGGTTGTTGTGTGCGAACTCTGTCAGTCAACCTGGTCGTCGTCGTTGAGAACCGGATAAGCCGTTTTATTGGTGCCGTTGCATGGATCTTGCTGATTGTGATGAATGTTTGTTTTATGCTGGATCTGGAAGCATCCGGGAATACCTGGAACTCACGTGGCTATGCACTGGTTCAGAGCTAGTCACTTGACCATTTCGTCCAAACAGACCGGTGATCTTGCCTTGACCATTTTCGTCCTCTTGCAAAACATCGGACATGTAGCTTTTGCTACCGTGCATTTATTTGATTCTCGTCATGTTTCGCATCTTTTCTTTTACATCATGCATATGGGAACAAGCAGAAACTTGACAACAAAGGCTGAATTGAAGTGGCGCACGCATGGGCTGGTACAGACTAGTCACTGTAGGGAAAGACCGGTGTACATACATCGGACATGTGCGCGCGGTACAGTCTTTTTACATCATGCTACAGAAACACAAAAGGCAATTGAGCGCGGCATGGGCGTATGCTCAGAGTTCAGCGCCGTCGGGCGGCGAGGCTGCTCCCTTCACCTTTTCCTTGGCCGTCTCCGCGGCGTCCCGCGTGGCCCTCGCCGTGGTCGCCGCCGACTGCTCCACCGTCTCCTTGCCCATCTCGAAGCTCCTCTTCGCGGCGTCGGCCACAGAGCCGGCGCTCCAGGCGGCGGCGGCGTCGTACCTTGGCACACGGCGACCACATACGTACCGTATCCTTAGTTGATTAGGATATGCTGCACACAAGCAACGGAGTAGGAAACCGAGCGCTATAGTTCACACATACCTGGGCTCGTCGGCGCGCGGCCGCCGGAGCTTCATCCACGCCAGCGCCGCCCAGGTGCGGAACGCGTCCAGCCGGCTGTTGAACCCCGGGATGCCGACGGCGTCGCCGACCGCATGCTCGACGGGCTCGGCGCGCTTCCCTGCTACCTCCCCCGCCCTGCCGACAGCTCCCTGCACCCCCTTGCCGACGCCCTCGCCGGCGAGCGGCAACGACGACGTCAGGAACGCCGCCACGGAGGCCACCAGCAACGCCAGCAGGACGACTGTCACGGCGCCCCACTTCGCTGCCGCCGGCTGCCCATCTTCCGCGACGCTGCCGCCGCCGCCGCCGCGGCCCTCGTCGCCCGTGGCCCTGGCGTCGACTTCGGCCTCGGCCATGGACTCAGACAGACGTTCTCAGGTGTGGAGAGACTGACTGGAGATTCGGAGATCAACGAACTGCCGCGCATGCACGGGGACGCACTTGGAGAGGAGACCCATCCTAGCTTTTTAGTAGTGGGCGCGCGTTGCCCGTGGTTCTATGGTGACACGTCTACGATACGTGTCCAGCCCAGCCGGGAGGCCGAGGAGCTGAGGGCGGCGGCGGCGGCATGCGTGCGCCTTGTGAGTCACGGGCGAACGTGTCGAGCGCGGCAGGTGAGGGCGGTCGTGCTCTCGGCTCTCGGTCCATATGCACAGCTGCCAGCCTGCCAGCTGGTGAATTATCAGATTCGAGGAGAAGCATGACTCCACAGGTTTGACACGGATGGAGTGCCCGGCCCATCCAACCCAATTGCGGTTGCGGCTGCCAACTAACTTACGACACCACTGGGCCCAAGCCCAGTATATAGCCCATCTTAGCAAAATAGCCATTAACAAGCTACTGGCGTCCCTTCTGCTAAAAAAAAAAGCTACTGGCATCCCCTCCTACGCTTAAGTCTTTATTATTATTTATTTATTATTATATTAAGAGCCCGTTCTCTTCTCGTAATCAAAGGAACAAAAGAGGAAAAAATTCCATTTACTTCCTCAAATATCGTGATCATCCAATTTTCTTCCATAAACTGCTCCCTCGGTCCCCAAATAAATCAATTCCTAAAATCCGTGCAAATCAAATCAAACTATCTTAAGTTTTAACTTTATAAGAAAGAGTAACAACATCTAGGATATAAAATGAGCATATTATCTAATATATCTAATGATATTAATTCGTGTCATAGATTTTGATGGGTTCTCCTAGAAATACGATCAAAGTTTAAAAAGTTTGACTTAAGACAACTCTATGAATCTATTTATTCAAGTGCAGAGGAGCACAAAATCAGTATTTTGACCTCCCCAGGTTTTAAAACTGTTTATTTTTGCATGGTAGTTTTGATGGTGGTTTTGCTGATATAGCGCCACTTCAGAGGGGGTAAATGTTAAATAGGACTAAGTTAAAAGTTTAGGAAAGTAAATCGAACTAGAAATATTTTTAAAGAATACATCCAAAAATTAGAAAAAATATATTTTCAAAAACTTATCTAAATATTTTTACACAAATACTCTAAAGGAGCGAAGGAATTGGAAATATTCTTTACCCAAATATTTTCTACCCACCTCAATTCTTGTCCATTAGATCGACTACAAACTCAGATCCAACATATCTAAATCTCTCATCCTGATCTGACAAGCGGTCTCGGTCAGAAACAGTGGGAAACTATTTATATTTACCCTCTGCGGATGTCTTTTTTCCTCACCATCTTGCACCGTACCCGCGCGCGTACCCACTCAGCGGTTCGCCTTTTCCCTCGTCTATTTCCCTCTCTTCTCCCTCCCCGAAACGACACGCGCATTCCCGCATGACCTCCCGCGCCTTCATCCCGTCCGCGATCGTGGCCACTGTCGTCTCCTGGAGAGAGGACGGTTATTCGCGACGCGGCTTTGCCCTCGGTGGCGCTGTAAACAACTACTCTACGTAGCAATCTAGCCATGGATGTTCCCTCAAGTTCTCTAGGTCAAGGATCGAGGGACCATGTCTTCACCGTAGCCCATTTGCGCTGTTCTAACAACGTTTGGCGCTACAGAAAAGGGTTAGCAGAGCGATCGTACGCAGGCCGTTTGGACTGTGGTACATGAGCCGCATTAATGGACGAACGCGCGCCGCACAGGTCTGCAGGCTGCGCTCCTTCTTGATGGCCGATGCAGGCGACCGTAGTAGGCGCAAGACGACCAGCAGGCAGCAGCAGCACCCCGCGCGCCGGCACAGGCACAGCACGCGCGAGGACACGCGCGCACGCCATTGGCAGCGGGAACGCCGGGAATGCACCGCGCACACGCCGCATACGCATGTCACCATGTCGCTGGCGCTAGATGCTAACCTGATCTTTGTGGATTCTGATCTTGGCTTGGCTAATTTGTCCCATGCTTTAGATATTTTCGAGACTCCTCCTTTGCCAGTGCGCGCGGCAGACTGGTTAGCATTACTTTCAAGGCCTGCTGGCTACGTTCATACTATGCGAGTGGAAGTAGAAATACAACATATACTAATACTACACTAATAAACAACTTGCAGTTTACAGAATTCATGCAGTGTGTTTCTACACTGCAAACTCACTCTTTTCTTTTTTGTGTTGTATTCCTTTAGGCATTAGTATTTAGTATCTGCATGCTGGGTGGTACTCGATGTTATAGGATGATTATATATTAGCATCAGATTAGGATATATTATTTGTCTGCGGTCAATTAAATTGTTTTTTTTTGTTTCATTGAACAGTGAAGTTAGTGGCAATAGAGAAGTGCAAAGGACAATGTTGGAATTGTTGAACCAGCTTGATGGATTCAGCAGCGATGATAGGATAAGATCAGCATTGAGCCTTCAACTTAATAATTATTATTGTCTTGATGCTTTGGCTCAGGTTCTGTTAAAAAACAGTGCAAAAATGATTACTCAACCTTAGCAAAAATAAATGTATTTTGTAGCTGTAATTTTTTTGGTTTCATACAATATTTTAGTGCTACATGCCATATTATTAACTAATCACTATAATATTTTTATTTAGGCTATTATAATGATGTTGTACATAATATTTTTTTAATCTTATCTATTTAGGTTGTGACTTCAGTGGGCAAATGTTTTCATATAATGTTCAAAACAATTGATCTTGATTGGAGCAACAGAGCTACAAGCTACGGTGAGGAAGTACGTCAGTCATGAATTGGTGTGTGGACAAAATACCTTAATGTCTAGGAACTATTTCACCAAATATCTCTATCTTCAAGGAGCTCAATAAAATGTCTAAGAGACTGACAGAGGTACAAGCTACGGTGAGGAAGTACGTCAGTCATGAATTGGTGTGTGGACAAAATACCTTAATGGCTAGGAACTATTTCACCAAATATCTCTATCTTCAAGGAGCTCAATAAAATGTCTAAGAGACTGACAATATGTCTGTATTTGTGCATGCTTTGCACTTATATCCATTCTACTATATATGTTGTACTCCAGGAGTCAGTTTAGTGAGTACAATATCCACTAAACACACTATTGTTGAAGCACAGAAGGTGAGGTTATTGAACAATTTACCAATTATACATTATTACTGATTGTAGTTTGACAAATAGAATATTCATCTAATTTTCATATGTAATTTTCTGTTAACGGTTTCATTAATTTGTCTTCAGCTTGATATAATGCTAGGGAAGAAAGTACTAAGGTCAACAAGGGGCTTACCTTTGCTATCAATGCTGCTGTTTTGGAAAAATAAATTACTAGCAGTTGAACCCATTCCTTCAGTGGTAGAACTTACCATTCAAAATTAAGGGTTTACAATAGGAGTTGCAAAATGTATAGCCTTATTTCTCAATTATTATGTATGAATTTTTTGTAGACACGTGCATGTCGCACGTGCATATCCACTAGTATAATTAAAAATCCTAAAATTTGGTTTAATCTTAGAAAAATTGTTTTACCTTGAAAAATAATAAAACTAGTTTTGTTTTTCTCTAAATCATGATCTATCTTATGGTGTCAAAGTTACAATCGTTTGAATCTTGACAGACTTGCTTTTGTGCTTATTTGCTATTAGAAACTCTCGTTATCTACTATAATTAGACGATGTTGATCGTCTGGCTACATAGATGCATCAGCGGAGCGTCGTTAGGACTATGTATGTGCGGCAGGGTGGGCACTGGTCTCCTACCCTAGATAAATTTCCAATGTAGCTGTGTCAGCCTGCGTGGCTGCATGCACCCTGCTACTATCGGAACAAGCATAGTGACTAGAAAACAAAAATGCCGCGATGTGTAGAGTGCCGGCTATTGTGAAGCTGTATTTTTTGTGAGGTTAAAAAAGGAACTAAACGTTAGTAAAGACTAAATATTTAAGGAGGATGTCCTGAGGAAGGAAATGTAAAAAAATATGAGAAATTGCATTTTGACCTTTATTTTCTTTCATTCAAATAGATATATGTCCATCTGGTGATGATAGCGATGTTAACATTAGCATTACTTATGTCATGATGGTTCTTGATAACAAATAAAAAACTATGTTCACTGATATCAGAATAGTTGTCTCAGTTTTTGTCACAAGAGTAAAACAACATAGAAATAGATTAAAATAGGGTAGAAAAGATATTTTCCATACTTGATAGTTGATACCCAACCAAATGCTAGATGGACTTAAAATTTCTGTATGAAGACCAGAGCACAGTTTTTTTAGAAAATAACCATAGGAAATGATAGTTATTACCATAATTACACAGGGGCATTATCAAGAGCCAGCATTTCTCTCTCTTCTATTAAAATATAAAATAAAATAGTTAAAGCTATTAGCTCATAAGTCATTACTGAAGCTGCCCTAAGTGTCATTGTAGCCGCCTCGAATCTCGATCACCTAGTCCACTAGTGGAAACAGATATCACTTTTCTTGTTTCTTTTGAGGTCAACAGCGGGGGAGTAAGGCCTCCCCATCTGAATTTTCATTCCACGTATGCCGGGCTAGCAAGGGGTGGAAGGGCTTTGGCGCCAATCCGTTTACAAAGAGATCATAGGGGGGTGAAGGCTAGATTACATGCTAAACACTGAGCTCCAATGTTCTACTAGCGTGGCGTTCTTCGGTGGGAGGCGGCAGCTCCAGGTTCTGACCGCTTCTTGGCAAGCACCCAGTAGACAGCGTTGGTCGGGGGGCAAGCCGCAGAACACAACGTCGTGCCTGTGCTTCCAGAGCTCCCAGCAACAGAGAAGGATCAGGGTACTCGCCACCGATGGTGGAACGTGGGGCGGCGGGGTAGACTTCCATAGTTCCGATGCTGCGATGCAGGAGCGATCGAGTTTGGCTGCCATCCAATTCGTCTCCAGAAGGACTTGGCAAACCGGCACCCCACGATGATGTGGTCGCCGGTTTCTTCCGCCTCGCCGCAGAT